GTTCTAGTTCAGTTCTAGTTCAGTTCTAGTTCAGTTCTAGTTCAGTTCTAGTTCAGTTCTAGTTCAGTTCTAGTTCAGTTCAAGTTCAGTTCAAGTTCAGTTCAGTTCAGTTCTAGTTCAGTTCTAGTTCAGTTCTAGTTCAGTTCTAGTTCAGTTCTAGTTCAGTTCTAGTTCAGTTCTAGTTCATTTCTAGTTCAGTTCTAGTTCAGTTCTAGTTCTTCAATTTTGTATAAATTTTGAGTCAGTCTACCAACGTTCAATTACTATAAGTTTTATTCTTAAATTTTAGTACATTTTGACTCTTCATATGTCAGATTAATTTTATTTAACTTAAAATTGGAAATTCATACAATTTTGGTGTTTATTTTACAAAATTTACAGTTTTCATTAAATATCTTGTTAAAAATCATAAATAATTATAAAAAAATGAATCAACAAACTCTTCAAAAGCTATGGTGACTCAATGAATAAAGTTAAAAACGATTTGTTAGACATACCCATTGCCTGTCAATATGGAAATCTGTGTTCCAACGATACCCATCGTATACACAATGAAAATGCCAATTGGTTAATAGAACGAAAAGATAAGCTACCCATATGGAGTCGTCTTAAACTTATTAATTGTGCTGGTCATCCCAGACGAATGATATATTCCAAGGATAAAGATTATGAAATTGAGATACCAGGACGATTGTTATCCATTTTTGGCAATATAACTCAGCAGACAAGTTTAAGCAATAAAATGAAAACTATGGAAAACTATCAGTTGGTGGGAAATATTTTAGTTTTGTGTGCTGCTCTTAGTTTCAATTTTCTACAGTGGTCGGTAAATTTATTAGATCAAATTATGACAAGGGCTACACCAAATGTATCCAGATTTGTTAAGAAAGCTTAATATTACCGATAAGGAATTCAACATTAGTCATTTGAATCAATTCTATCAGTTCGAAAGTACTGATATCAAGTTCAAGTCCAGCAAGTGGCCACAGGTTATTTGTATATTCGTTATGGATTGAATGAATTTAATTTGGCCAGAGCTTTAACCTGGTTTTTTCGTAACTATCAATTTGGCCTGCTAAAATGCTGTAATCGTACTTTAGCTTTTGGAGTTACTCTCGACACTGATTATGGATTCTTCATGTACGATTGCCAGAGTAGGGAATTTCCTTTATTTGAAAATCAGCAAACAACTTCATATATTCTAAGGACGCATCATTTGCAAATTTTACTATACTGTCTTATAATGACCCTTAATGTTTCCACTGAAATGATGAAGTTTTATATATATAATTGTTGACATCAGAACACTAAATTCTTTGGAGAACAAAAGCTTAAGAAAGGAAATATATGTGCCAACCATAGTAAAGAAGAAAGATGTAGAACGAAAAGTTGACTGTGGAACCATACAGAAAAAGGGTAACAATAAAGCGGTTACTAACACTCTCAGTAGAAATCCAAAAACTGTTGATACTTTAAATCCTACTTCAACAAATGCATTAAAAGCTTCGACTTCATTAACACCAAAACTTTTCAAAAAATCGAATGCAGACACTAAAACTAAGCCTTCAAAATCAGAAACATTGAAAAGTGAAAATTCTCAAAAGAAAATTCCCCTCGATCCCAATAAAACTTATTACATCATAGCAGTTCCAAAGGAATCCAATATTATTGTAGCAAAATCTACATCCAAACCAAACTGCTGTTCGGAGAAAGATATTAATGCAAAAAACTGAGAAACCTATAGAAAAAACTGACAAAAATGTTAAAATCAATGTGCATCGTATCAATACCCTTAAATCTCCAAAAGCTGATGAACAAACCAACACACAACTTGTTCAAGAAAGTGAGTCGGAACGATTTATTTAGAAAAAAACTGCCAGTTCCAGCACTTTAACACCGGATCATACTGATGAAAATAACTCAATCCTTTGGGTTTAAAAGTGTATTTGGTAGATAACCGTAATAATTGTAGAGATTGAAATAAAAATTGGCCGTAACCTTTTTAAAAAAACACTTTAAAATAAAATCAATTTAAAAAATCTGAAAAATAAAAACTATTTATATTAGAACGAACTAGACTGAACTAGAACTGAACTGGAACTGGACTAGAACTGGACTAGAACTGGACTAGAACTGGAATAGAACTGGACTAGAACTGAACTAAAACAGAACCTAGAACCGAACTAGAATGAACTAGAATTGAACTAGAACTGAACTAGAACTGAACTAGAACAGAACTAGAACAGAACTAGAATTGAACTAGAACTGAACTAGAACTGAACTAGAACGGAACTAGAACTGAACTAGAACTGAACTAGAACTGAACTAAACTGAACTAGAACTGAACTAGAACTGAACTAGAACTGAACTAGAACTGAACTAGAACTGAACTAGAACTGAACTAGAACTGAACTAGAACTGAACTAGAACTGAACTGGAACTGAACTAGAACTGAACTAGAACTGAACTAGAACTGAACTAGAACTGAACTAGAACTGAACTAGAACTGAACTAGAACTGAACTAGAACTGAACTAGAACTGAACTAGAACTGAAACTAGAACTGAACTAGAACTGAACTAGAACTGAACTAGAACTGAACTAGAACTGAACTAGAACTGAACTAGAACTGAACTAGAACTGAACTAGAACTGAACTAGAACTGAACTAGAACTGAACTAGAACTGAACTAGAACTGAATTAGAACTGAACTAGAACTGAACTAGAACTGAACTAGAACTGAACTAGAACTGAATTAGAACTGAACTGAACTGAACTAGAACTGAACTAGAACTGAACTAGAACTGAACTAGAACTGAACTAGAACTGAACTAGAACTAAACTAGAACTGAACTAGAACTGAACTAGAACTGAACTAGAACTGAACTAGAACTGAACTAGAACTGAACTAGAACTGAACTAGAACTGAACTAGAACTGGACTAGAACTGGACTAGAACTGACTAGAACTGAACTAAAACAGAACTAGAACAGAACTAGAATTGAACTAGAACTGAACTAGAACTGAACTAGAACTGAACTAGAACTGAACTAGAACTGAACTAGAACTGAACTAGAAACTGAACTAGAACTGAACTAGAACTGAACTAGAACTGAACTAGAACTGAACTAGAACTGAACTAGAACTGAACTAGAACTGAACTAGAACTGAACTAGAACTGAACTAGAACTGAACTAGAACTGAACTAGAACTGAACTAGAACTGAACTAGAACTGAACTAGAACTGAACTAGAACTGAACTAGAACTGAACTAGAACTGAACTAGAACTGAACTAGAACTGAACTAGAACTGAACTAGAACTGAACTAGAACTGAACTAGAACTGAACTAGAACTGAACTAGAACTGAACTAGAACTGAACTAGAACTGAACTAGAACTGAACTAGAACTGAACTAGAACTGAACTAGAACTGAACTAGAACTGAACTAGAACTGAAACTAGAACTGAACTAGAACTGAACTAGAACTGAACTAGAACTGAACTAGAACTGAACTAGAACTGAACTAGAAACTGAACTAGAACTGAACTAGAACTGAACTAGAACTGAACTAGAACTGAACTAGAACTGAACTAGAACTGAACTAGAACTGAACTAGAACTGAACTAGAACTGAACTAGAACTGAACTAGAACTGAACTAGAACTGAACTAAACTGAACTAGAACTGAACTAGAACTGAACTAGAACTGAACTAGAACTAGAACTAGAACTGAACTAGAACTGAACTAGAACTGAACTAGAACTGAACTAGAACTGAACTAGAACTGAACTAGAACTGAACTGAACTAGAACTGAACTAGAACTGAACTAGAACTGGACTAGAACTGGACTAGAACTGGACTAGAACTGAACTAAAACAGAACTAGAACAGAACTAGAATTGAACTAGAATTGAACTAGAACAGAACTAGAACTGAACTAGAACTGAACTAGAACTGAACTAGAACTGAACTAGAACTGAACTAGAACTGAACTAGAACTGAACTAGAACTGAACTAGAACTGAACTAGAACTGAACTAGAACTGAACTAGAACTGAACTAGAACTGAACTAGACTGAACTAGAACTGAACTAGAACTGAACTAGAACTGAACTAGAACTGAACTAGAACTGAACTAGAACTGAACTAGAACTGAACTAGAACTGAACTAGAACTGAACTAGAACTGAACTAGAACTAACTAGAACTGAACTAGAACTGAACTAGAACTGAACTAGAACTGAACTAGAACTGAACTAGAACTGAACTAGAACGAACTAGAACTGAACTAGAACTGAACTAGAACTGAACTAGAACTGAACTAGAACTGAACTAGAACTGAACTAGAACTGAACTAGAACTGAACTAGAACTGAACTAGAACTGAACTAGAACTGAACTAGAACTGAACTAGAACTGAACTAGAACTGAATAGAAACTGAACTAGAAACTGAACTAGGAACTGAACTAGAACTGAACTAGAACTGAACTAGAAACTGAACTAGAACTGAAACTAGAATGACTAGAACTGAACTAGAACTGAACTAGAACTGAACTAGAAACTGAACTAGGAACTGAACTAGAACTGAACTAGAACTGAACTTAGAACTGAACTAGACTGAACTAGAACTGAACTAGAACTGAACTAGCCACTGAAACTAGAACTGAACTTGATAAGAATTGGAATAATAAACTTTATTACGAATAGAAATATTAGTTTGCAGCATTTATTAAAAATTTAGTTCACTATTAAATTTGATTTAACTTCAAACAGGCCTCCGGGCCCAGCACTAAAACATCCAACAAATTATATTACAAGTCTTTCTGCTTGCGTTGATTCTCCTCTTCTGGAGTTAGATTTACTTTGGTTGCAGAACAAATCATTCTTACGAAATCGTTTTTGATTTTAAGATTTTCATCACTTTGTCGATCGGCATCTACTAGCGGTTTAATAAGGCCTTTTTCCTCTTCATCTTTGCCGATATTGTGAAATTTACGGCGATATTGTGTCTGGTATTCTTTGAGATCTTTTGCCTCGATTGTAGAGCATTTTAAAGCACTTACTTTTGAATTTTTTGTGATGGGGGAGATTTTAATGTTAGTATAGAAGGGGTTTTACAGAATTCCGAAGGTAAAATACGTTTACATTTTAAAAGGCTACGCTTGCTTGGATCACGTTCCAGTTTAGGTAGTTGGGGTTGAATTACATTGATTTTAACATGATGCAAACAGAATGGGGCATTTATATGCAAGACATTTAAACTGATGACTAGACAATATAGTAAAATTTGCAAATGATTTGTTCTGAGTAAATAAGTGGCTGATATATCTTGAGAAAATATAGGATTATATTTACTTTGGGCATCATACATAAAATAGCCACCACTGGGCCCATCTATAAAACCCAAACCCAAGATTCTATTGTTACATTCCAATAGGCCATATTGATAGCGGGAGAAAAAATGTATAAGAGCATAGGCCAAATTGGGCTGACATTGAAGAGGTATACTATACAAACGACCCTGTTGAACGGTATTTAAACAAACACGGAACTGGATGCCTTCCATAGAACAATTGGTATTTAGGTTTTCTATCTGAAATTGTGCTGAGGAGCAATGTGATTTCTTTAAGCTTTCCTTATAAAATTTGCGGCCATTTTCAAAAATGCTATCCATTAGCTGTGAGTTCCAAATATTTAAACGTATTACTTTAGCGGTACATAAAGCTATAACGGTTGCTGCCATATAGAATTTATCCGAAGATTTAGATGTGCAGTTTTTGACTTTGTGTTTCCTTTTACGACTCCACAGAGACCACAAACGATTCTTTATTTCAATATCATAGTTTTTGGTCATGGACATGGGTAATTTACGTTTAAAGCCACAAGTATTGATTTCATTTAAACGACTCCAGATGGGTATTTTATCCTTAAGATCCCACAACCACTCAATGCTTTCTGATCTTAGGCAGCCATCTGCATTTAGTTGACATTCCTGACATGGCAGTGGTACCATGGACAGTTTTAAAAGATTGTTTAAAATTATCTTGACAATGGATTGTAGACATCGTTCCAAACATTTATACTCGAAATTTTTTCTGTTTTTTTGAAATTTTATTTTAAAACAAAACAAAGTTTGACAAGTATTATAAAAAATAGACTTGCCAAAAGCAATTTTTTTAAAAACTATTGTCTCTCGAAATAAAAACAGTGTCTTCAAACGAAGTTAGTAGAACAACTAAGTTTTTTTTATATTAAATATATAATGAACAACTTTTCTAACACCCCAAGGTCTTTGTTTGCAAAACACAACTGCATAAATGCACATGTGTTTATAAAGTAAATTTGTACTAAGAAACTATGTCATACGTATTCATATTTACATTGTTTAATTAAATATCTCAACAACTACTACACATTAATATAAAAACCACATGTTGCATTTAAAATTGACCAGTTCAAGTTGTGTGCTAAAAGTCAAAGCATTTCATTTCCAGCATGAAGTCTATAAAAGAAATATTTTTGGCTTTTTAATTTGTTTAATAACATTATCAACGACATCACATCCAGCTGTAGTAGCTGGTGATGAAGCCAGTGAAATTAAATTGCAGGATTTATTGGTGCAACAGCATTTGGAACTTTGTACATACATTGCAGATAATCAATTGGCTCAAGCGATTTGTGGTGCACTATGTAATGCCCTGAAACATGATGATGGTTATTGCAGCCAAGAATCTGAGTGTTTGTGTCGAAACGCTTATGTGGAGTGAAAATTTTGAGAATTCGTGAAATATTAAAAAAAAGAACACTTACAACTTCAAATGTTTAAACTATTTTATTTAAACTACTTTATTTACATCTATTGCAAATAAAAAAGAACTCGCTTTCTTTTACTTAATAACTCGCTAAGAAAGAAATAAATTACACAACATTTATAAAGCTAAAGTGTATGCAATTAACCCATCGGGGGGCAATGTAGTTTCAGTTCTGTTCTAGTTCTTTTTTTTAGTTCTGTTCTAGTTCTGTTAGTTCTGTTCTAGTTCTGTTTTTCTAGTTCTGTTCTAGTTCTGTTCTAGTTCTGTTCTAGTTCTGTTCTAGTTCTGTTCTAGTTCTGTTCTAGTTCTGTTCTAGTTCTGTTCTAGTTCTGTTCTAGTTCTGTTCTAGTTGTTCTAGTTCTTTCTAGTTCTGTCTAGTTCTGTTCTAGTTCTGTTCTAGTTTGTTCTAGTTCTGTTCTAGTTCTGTTCTAGTTCTGTTCTAGTTCTGTTCTAGTTCTGTTCTAGTTCTTTCTAGTTCTGTTCTAGTTCTAGTTATGTTCTAGTTTTTCTAGTTCTTCTAGTTCTGTTCTAGTTCTGTTCTAGTCTGTTCTAGTTCTGTTCTAGTTCTGTTCTAGTTCTGTTCTAGTTCTGTTCTAGTTCTGTTCTAGTTCTGTTCTAGTTCTGTTCTAGTTCTGTTCTAGTTCTGTTCTAGTTCTGTTCTAGTTCTGTTCTAGTTCTGTTCTAGTTCTGTTCTAGTTCTGTTCTAGTTCTGTTCTAGTTCTGTTCTAGTTCTGTATGTTCTGTTCTAGTTCTGTTCTAGTTCTGTTCTAGTTTGTTCTAGTTCTGTTCTAGTTCTGTTCTAGTTCTGTTCTAGTTCTGTTCTAGTTCTGTTCTAGTTCTGTTCTAGTTCTGTTCTAGTTCTGTTCTAGTTCTGTTCTAGTTCTGTTCTAGTTCTGTTCTAGTTCTGTTCTAGTTCTGTTCTAGTTCTGTTCTAGTTCTGTTCTAGTTCTGTTCTAGTTCTGTTCTAGTTCTGTTCTAGTTCTGTTCTAGTTCTGTTCTAGTTCTGTTCTAGTTCTGTTCTGTTCTAGTTCTGTTCTAGTTCTGTTCTAGTTCTGTTCTAGTTCTTTCTAGTTCTGTTCTAGTTTGTTCTAGTTCTGTTCTAGTTCTGTTCTAGTGTTCTAGTTCTGTTCTTCTAGTTCTGTTCTAGTTCTGTTCTAGTTCTGTTCTAGTTCTGTTCTAGTTCTGTTCTAGTTCTGTTCTAGTTCTGTTTCGTTCTGTTCTAGTTCTGTTCTAGTTCTGTTCTAGTCTGTTCTAGTTCTGTTCTAGTTCTGTTCTAGTTCTGTTCTAGTTCTGTTCTAGTTCTGTTCTAGTTCTGTTCTAGTTCTGTTCTAGTTCTGTTCTAGTTCTGTTTAGTTCTGTTCTAGTTTGTTCTAGTTCTGTTCTAGTTCTGTCTAGTTCTGTTCTAGTTCTGTTCTAGTTCTGTTCTAGTTCTGTTCTAGTTCTGTTCTAGTTCTGTTCTAGTTCTGTTCTAGTTCTGTTCTAGTTCTGTTCTAGTTCTGTTTAGTTCTGTTCTAGTTCTGTTCTAGTTCTGTTCTAGTTCTGTTCTAGTTCTGTTCTAGTTCTGTTCTAGTTCTGTTCTAGTCTGTTCTAGTTCTGTTCTAGTTCTGTTCTAGTTCTGTTCTAGTTCTGTTCTAGTTCTAGTTCTGTCTAGGTCTGTTCTAGTTCTGTTCTAGTTCTGTTCTAGTTCTGTTCTAGTTCTGTTCTAGTTCTGTTCTAGTTCTGTTCTAGTTCTGTTCTAGTTCTGTTCTAGTTCTGTTCTAGTTCTGTTCTAGTTCTGTTAGTTTCTAGTTCTGTTCTAGTTCTGTTCTAGTTCTGTTTTGTTCTATTCTGTTGTAGTTGCGATTTGTCTTTTTTTAATTCGAGTTATATTATTTAACATCATAAAGGTTTAATTTTCAAGAAAGCTGCTTTTGTTTCTCTCGAACGGAATTTGTTTATTAAATCTCTAGAAATTCTCCAAAAAAGTGGTTAGAATTTTATCATTAACTTGATTTAAATGCGTTTATTTTCTGAGATATTTTTTATACTCCATTCCATGTTATCTCTTGCCTTGTGAAGCACGTTCAATATGAAAACTGCTGAAATGTTACCAGGGTATGACTATGATTTGCTAAAATTTTTCTCTACTTTCTTCTCGGCGTCCAACAATTGTTTCTGTTCTTTCGTTTTAATAAAAATTCCATGCTATTTTTTCTACAGTAGTTTTCTGTAACTAAAGCTATGAATACTTTGTAATTAATTTAAGTAACACGGATAACTTTTTGTTCTGTGTGACAAAAAAAAATCTATTAATTTAAAGCGTCACTTGGTACTGGTTGCTTTTTTATTTCTTCTCATCATGCTTTTCTTAACATTTAAGTTTTTTGAAGCATTTTATGGAACGAGAATTATCCACGACTTTCTTAACATTTCTAACAGATTTTCTTTTTTTTTTCAGTATTTATTATGAAAAAAAAAAAGAAAAGTCCCTCAAGGTATTCTGCTAAAATAGATAGACTTTATGTGAAGGCTAAGGAGGGTAAGAAATAAATGAAAACTATGAAATATGGAAATATGTTGCTATTTTAGTAATTGTAATAATTTTTTAATTTGATAATATGCTTCTAGTCAAATGACGAAAAAGCGAAAAAATAATAAATGCTGAGACAACAAGTGATTTCACTACACTCAGAGAAAAACAAAAAAATTTAATGACAATAGTCGACATAACAACAAAAAATTATTAAAAACATTAAATCCTAATATATTTATTATACTTAAATATGTGTTTGTCAAATGCAAGTTAATGGATTCTGGAACCTAATGATAATATTATGCTGTACGTCTCTAAAATATTTTCCGAGTGTTTTAACAAAGACTAATATTAGTGAAAATTTTTCTGAGATTTTTGTTAAATCCACATTTTTCTATTACAAAAATTATTATATAATTGTATGTATTTTAACGGAAAAGTGTCTAAGTGGATAACTTAGTCGATCATAAAGTCTAGTTTGGTCACGAAATTGTTCATTTACTTGACTAAGGAAACTAATTTTAATTATTACCTAAAAAAATAAGGATCTAAAAATTATATACATAGTTTTGTAATTGCAAAGTTTAATAAATTATTCCAATATACATAACATAACTGTAAATAATTGCAATATGTAGCCGCAGTTTTCAATTATAGTTCTGTTTATGTTTAGATATATTTCAGTTATAGTTTAGTTCACTTCTATTTCAGTTCTATTTTAGTCCTAGTTCACTTCTATTTCACTTCTATTTCACTTCTATTTCAGTTTTAGTTCAGTACTAGTTCAGTTCTTGTTCAGTTCTAGTTCAGTTCAGTTCTAGTTCAGTTCTAGTTCAGTTCTAGTTCAGTTCTAGTTCAGTTCTAGTTCAGTTCTAGTTCAGTTCTAGTTCAGTTCTCTTTCAGTTCTAGTTCATTTCAGTTCTAGTTCAGTTCTAGTTCAGTTCTAGTTCAGTTCTAGTTCAGTTCTAGTTCAGTTCTAGTTCAGTTCTAGTTCAGTTCTAGTTCAGTTCTAGTTCAGTTCTAGTTCAGTTCTAGTTAAGTTCTAGTTCAGTTCTAGTTCAGTTCTAGTTCAGTTCTAGTTCAGTTCTAGTTCAGTTCTAGTTCAGTTCTAGTTCAGTTTAGTTCAGTTCTAGTTCAGTTCTAGTTCAGTTCTAGTTCAGTTCTAGTTCAGTTCTAGTTCAGTTCTAGTTCAGTTCTAGTTCAGTTCTAGTTCAGTTCTAGTTCAGTTCTAGTTCTAGTTCAGTTCTAGTTCAGTTCTAGTTCAGTTCTAGTTCAGTTCTAGTTCAGTTCTAGTTCAGTTCTAGTTCAGTTCTAGTTCAGTTCTAGTTCAGTTCTAGTTCAGTTCTAGTTCAGTTCTAGTTCAGTTCTAGTTCAGTTCTAGTTCAGTTCTAGTTCAGTTCTAGTTCAGTTCTAGTTCAGTTCTAGTTCAGTTCTAGTTCAGTTCTAGTTCAGTTCTAGTTCAGTTCTAGTTCAGTTCTAGTTCAGTTCTAGTTCAGTTCTAGTTCAGTTCTAGTTCAGTTCTAGTTCAGTTCTAGTTCAGTTCTAGTTCAGTTCTAGTTCAGTTCTAGTTCAGTTCTAGTTCAGTTCTAGTTCAGTTCTAGTTCAGTTCTAGTTCAGTTCTAGTTCAGTTCTAGTTCAGTTCTAGTTCAGTTCTAGTTCAGTTCTAGTTCAGTTCTAGTTCAGTTCTAGTTCAGTTCTAGTTCAGTTCTAGTTTTTTTCAGTTCTAGTTCAGTTCTAGTTCAGTTCTAGTTCAGTTCTAGTTCAGTTCTAGTTCAGTTCTAGTTCAGTTCTAGTTCAGTTCTAGTTCAGTTCTAGTTCAGTTCTAGTTCAGTTCTAGTTCAGTTCTAGTTCAGTTCTAGTTCAGTTCTAGTTCAGTTCTAGTTCAGTTCTAGTTCAGTT